TAAACAATGGTTAAGATGGTAAATTTGATATTATGTGCATTTCATCACAATTTTCTTAATGAATGCTGAGTTCTGATCTGACTGAACAAACAACATGAATTCCCTGTATGGAAGATAAAAAGTAAGAAAATGTTAAGACTTTCCCTGTAGACAAAAGTAACAAATTAAACCACTGGAAGTAATAACTTTCCAGTAGAAAAACCCTAAGGGGGATGATGTGTCTGGAGTCCAGGAGAATTGGGCCCAGCCAGACCCAAGACAATTATCACACATTTATTTTTAGCAATGCCCACTGAGTATGGCTCCCTAGAGGCCAAGAGCAGACCTGAAAATAATTCAAGTGTGAACCCCACACATCTCTCCTTGGCCCAAGAATCAGGGAATGAGCCCAGCTCTCTCAGCCTCCTTGCTCACCCTGCCTTCCACCCACACACTTGCTCTGCATTTTGCTTCCAGTGGGGCCCAGGCTTGAGTCTCCAGCTCCAGGACGCTTGTGAGCCATCTGCCCCTCCTTAGCAAGGAGGAGTAACTCAGGAGAAGGCAGCATCCTTGGGTGGGCTTGGCAGAAATCAGACCAACTGAACAGGTCAGTGATAAGGTGGGGACAGAAGAAGACACTCCTCTCTCAATGCCCCCAAATGTGTAAGCCTAAAGACATCATTCCTCCACTTCTCAAAGACAAGCAGAATCAGAGACCTATAGGGGACTTTGGAAACCACACAGGGATTCAACCCCAACACTTTACAAACTTCCTAAACTCACATAGGACTAGACGTCGGGACAATTTCTCTCAGCCTCCCTTCATTCCCAACTATGAGGGCCTATCCAGTCATTCCAACACCTTCTAATGCTTATCCTTAGCAGAGACATCTGAAAATGTTTGCTGTTGCTCAGACATGCTCAGAAGTAGAGAAAGTGACTGACTACAATAGCCTAATTCTTATTTCTTGTTTAATGGAAGCAACTTAGCAGGGAAAAAACCAGCAGAAATTAAACCTCAAACTGTTCCCATTACCCTCCAAATTAACATATTTTCATTGTCAGATGTACATAGATGTTATCTGTATGTACCTGCTACCTTATGTTCTGCTTTTAAGGTCTATGTCATAGACAAATATCCAGAAATCAACACCTTTTTTCATTTTTAATATCTGTATAATATTCTATTACATCACTACATCATCATTGCAAAGATATAGACCCTGGGAGAAAATTTTAAAATTAATGTTTAAGTACTTGGTACAGTGCCTGCTGTAGGGTATATATTTATTTATTATTGATAATATATCTATATACTTGGAAGCATGATCATCTGAATTAATTAAAACCTTCCAATTAGAATATATTTCTATTATATATATATTCCTTTACTTTACCCATTATAATTTCCTTTGAACAAATATTTCATTTCCCAAGTTGAATTAAAATCCAAATATTCAATTTTATCATCGCTGGAAATGAAAACACCATTTTCATTCCTTTTTTTTAATAGTTATTTAGAGTTGATCTATCAGTAAGCAATTTACTAATTTTTGTGTGATATTACACTTTACAACTCTGCTCATTAACTTTATTTTTAGCAGTGACTTCATTTCTTTTAATAGCTTAGCTATAAATAGATATTTTGCAAAAAGTTATGTTTTTATTTCTTTTTTCTTTACAGATAGCATGGCCAGCATTTCTAGCAAGATATTAAATAAGGAGTGAAAACAGAGAATACCCATATTTTGTTCTTCTTTTTAGGGAAAAAGTATAAGTCTTTAATAAACATGATGTTGACTCTTGTTTTCAAATACACCACTTATCATATTAAGGAAAAAAGCACTGTTTTCAGAGTTTTAATCTATAAGGTTTTGATAAATTTATCTGGATCTCATTACAGTAGTTGGTATTTTGTTTGTGTTAAACTAGGTTAATGGATTCCCTTGAATCTGATAGAGAATTCTTTTAATGCATAGTTTCCTTGGCTTGTACACTTTTTCTTTACTTGGGGGCATTTGCATCTATGTCTAAAAACAAAATTGGTCTAAAATATTCCTTTCATTATCTTGCTTAGTTCAAGCTTGAAGTCATATTTGCGTCTAAAAATGAATTGACAAATAATGACTGAATAACAATAGCCAAGTTAACTGGGTGCCAACTGCTTGCTAGGCACTGTTTTATGCACATTATGGTTATTTCCTCACTTAATGTTTGTAACAACCCCTGTACGCAGATATTACTAATCCACTTTACAGATTATTACACCATAACTTTGTTTTTATACTTTTTATTATTGAATTGGTCCTTAAAAAGCTTAAATATTTTCTTCATCGGAGTCAGACTATTTATAAGTTTGTATTTCTTTCTCTGTTAGTGTTATATTCATGCTCTCTAATTCTTTTTGCACCTATGGGGCTACTGAGCATATTTGTGAGTAGTCCTCTATTTTATTTGATAAGATGTATTAGCCTCTAATTGAAAATAATAGTCAACTTGAATTTGAATCTTTTGTATTAGCTATTAAATTTTCCAAATCCTGGCCTCATTCTCACTTTCATTCTCATCTGTTTATCAAAATTGCTTTTTAACTCTTTTTCAAAGAATCAATGATCAGATTTCTGCTTAATTTTCTTTTTCTACGTCATTTGTTTTTACTTTATTATCTATATTTTAACTTGTTTCCCCTTCTCAATTATTTAAGCAGAGCACCTTATGGCTCAGTCACTGAATAAAACTAAACATGAGGACTCCAAAGTCAAAGACAAGCATTTTCTCCACCCCTTGGGCTCTCACAAAACAGGTCCCGTATTTAAGCCAACACAAACGGCAGAGTTGTCGTGATCACCAGAGGAAGGTGGAAGACTGCCGCTGAAGCAGAACACAAGGCCAGTCTGTGTGCTGGCTGCCCAAGGGTCGGACCCCAACAAAAAGGTGCCTGGGTCCAGGTATGTATGGGTTAGTGTAGCGCGGAGCCCATACCTGTGGAGGTCTGAGAGATGACCTTAGGTGGTTTACAGAGATGGAGACAAGTAGCGTCAAATCACATTGTGAGAAAGTGATTGCATCTTGAGTTCTCCCTCAACTCTTCTGTTCCCTCTCAGAGAAATCCTCAGGTGCTATTTCCCTAACTCCTCCCTTGCACTTTACATTCTCTTTCTTTTTTTTTTTTGGTGGGGGTATTTTAGAGATTTTATTTACTTATTTGTCAGAGAGAGAGAGAGAGAGTGTGTGCACAAGCAGGCAGAGTGGCAAGCAGAGGCAGAGAGAGAAGCAGTCTCCCCACTGAGCAAGGAGCTCGATGCAGGACTCGATCCCAAGACCCTGGGATCATGACCTGAGCCGAAGGCAGCAACTTAACTGACTGAGCCAACCAGGCGCCCCTCTCCTTTTTTAACCAAGGAAAAGTAGGTTTCAGACTCTGAACTCCCTACAGGTAATGGTATCTGGCTAAAATTCTTAATTTCTTAATTTCTTAAGTATCATAGGGTACAAATTTTTACTTTTAATAAATTCATTAATTCCAATTCAAATTGAATTGAATTATTAAATTAAATTGAATTATTAAATTCATTAATAAACTCACTAACAAAATTAGTGAGTTAAATAAGAGTGTTAATGAAACAATAAAACAGATGATAAGTAAATGTAAATGATGTTTGGGAGACACAAGGTTGGTATCAGGTGAAAGAGGACTATCTTTAAGGTCTCACCCAATCTCAAAGATGTGTGGTCACAAAGGGGAATATGAAAAGCAGTTATCCCTTCATTCAACAATAGCATAAAAACACTGAGTGTCTCCTTTAGTCCAGGCATGAGTCTAGAAACTAGGGATATAGCAATACATTAAAATAAAGCTCCTGCCCTCATGAGCTTATGATATGATAGGTCAGAAGAATGAGGAGGACTAAGAGCAAGAAACCAGCAAGACGTGCCACAAGAAAACTGTGCCTAAAATCCAGTAGGGAATGCATTTGCCAAAAAGTAGAAGTGACCAACCCTACTAACTGCACCTTGTTGGTTTTAGTATGATGGAGCCTGAGAACCAACGTCAGATGCGGCATTGGTGGCCATGGAAGTTTCAGGAATTGGGGAGAAGACTGAGAAGGGGGCTTCATGAGCAAACAGGAAGAAGGAAACTGGGGTTTGTGTACTGCCCACAGTTTGAGGACTTTTGTGGAAAGGGAGAGTAGAGAAGTGAGCTGACAGCCAGAGGGGAACGTGAGTCAAGGGTGGATTTTTAAAACTCAGTGATTTCTGTGTGCTGACAGGAATGATCCAGAAGCTAGGAGAAAAATCCTTTTCATTTTAAGTTAAACTCAATCTTAGCTTGGGTTTTCTTCAAACAGGGAATACTTGGGAAGAGTACTTTCCTAACGAGGGAGAAGTAGTAACAAGAAATTTTTCTTCTCCCACATCTCTGGAGAAGTAGAGGATTGGAAGGAAAAGAGGCTAGTGTCACTTTGGTTTGAAAGGAGTACTAGTCAAGGAAGGGACAGGGCTTTTGCTGCTACACACACCACAGCTCCCAGTCTCATAATGTATCTCTCCCAGTACAGGTGATCCTCTCCCACCATATCCCTGCCCCATTCCACCTGCTCCACATGCCCCCTTCTCCTACCCCAGCACTGGCCACTCCAGGAAGGCCTGACCTATTTACACAGATGTCCCAAGGCTAAGTTCACCTGGTAGCACTTTTTCAGTCTTTTGGAGAAAATCAAAGCAGTGAAATTGAAGGAGAACGTTTATCTTCCACACTAAGGAATAGCTCTAAACAATGCTACAGCATAGTCAAAATCTCCAACCCTCCTTTACCCTCCCCACCTGCACTGGTAAGTTCCTTAGCGCCAAGCAGGCTCCACCTCAGCAAAATGGTGTGGTGGAGAAAGGCAACCTCCCAAAATGGTTTTCCCCTTGTCACTCCCTGCCCAGTTCGTGGTGGACCAAACCCTGCCCCCATGGCTTTTCCAGACTGATTTCCCCCATCAGCTCTTCCCCCATCCCCACTCAGCACACTGACTCAAGTTCTTCCTCTCCCCACCATCCCTCTTTGTGACCTACTATGTCTTGTGAAGCAGTGGAAAATAAGTGATATATCTAATGAAACTTCAGCTGAGCTCACAATGAACTATTATGAATTCCAGTTTAATATGTTCCTATCGTTTCTTTTTTGCCCACTCCATTCCTTTGAGCGATGTTACACTTGCAGTTTCTCTTTGTTATCTGCAGAGGCAACTCTTAACCTTCAGAGGCAAATCCCTCTCCTGGATAAGCCCAGACGGAAGGGCTGGCTGTGCTGTCCCAGTCAGCAGGCTCTTCTGTCCAGGTTTGTCCTGACGTACTTCATTCACATCATCATCACCAGGACAGAAATGACCCAGAGCCTATGACAAGTGGCAGCCGGGGCTAAGCCCTGGGCTGTATATGACTGGGGAAAACAAAGGAAGACAAAGTATTTGAGGGGAAGAAGGGTATGTACAAATAAGACCCTCTGGTTCTATATATGTGCCACTGTGGTTCCAGAATTCTGTAGAGAAAGGGCCTTCAGATGGCAATCTTACTGGGAGTAAGAAGAAATTGTATTTCTATAGTTCTTTACTTAATAGTGAGACACGAGTTTTTCAAATCAAAGAATGAGAATACGATAGTCTGGGCAGAGGGCGGGGAGGTGGGCAAAACACCCTAAATACTCCTTGTTTGTTAGCACCACTGAGTACATGGTCATATGTCACAAGAATTCTCCTTAGAGGGATGGCATTATGGGGCTGTGCAAGCTCAGGATCAGCAGTATTTTGGCAGTGAAATAATTAAAACCCTGACTTCAGGGTCTGTTGGGGCCTGAAGACTCCCTGGTTGAAGCTTTTCCTTTGGTAGGTGGAGAGCGTTCTTTGGGGTTCATACCAAATGAACAGAGAGATATGAGTTAGCCAGATGTGAGTTGAGGGGCTGTATGAGGGAAGAAGGGAGGCATGGGTCCCATCCCCCCTTCCCTATAGCCTGTGCCTGGTCTGGATCTCCCAGCAGGACCAGCCAACCATGGAGGGAGAAAACCACACAGGCATCTCTGAGTTCATCCTCCTAGGGCTCTCCAGCCAGCCTGAAAGGCAGGAGCTGATCTTTGGGCTCTTCCTTGTCATGTACCTGGTCGGGGCAGCTGGGAACTTGCTCATCATCCTGGCCATTGGCTCAGACTCCCACCTCCACATGCCCATGTACTTCTTCCTCAGCAACCTTTCCCTGGTGGATTTCTGCTTCATCTCTGCCACAGTCCCCAAGATGCTTGTGAACATTCAGATGCAGACTCGGTCTATTTCCTATGGCGGCTGCCTAACTCAGATCTACTTCTGCATTTTGCTTGCCAATATGGACAACTTTCTCCTGACAGCAATGGCTTATGACCGCTACGTGGCCATCTGTCACCCCCTGCACTACTCTACCATGATGAGTCTGCAAATCTGTGCCCTGATGCTAGGGAGCTCCTGGCTCATTGCCAGCCTCCACTCCCTGCTACATACTGTCCTCATGGCTCGGCTGGAGTTCTGTGCCAGCAACGCCATCCCTTACTTCTTTTGTGACCTCATTCCCCTGCTTCAGCTCTCCTGTTCTAACACCCAGCTCAACCAGCTCATGATTCTGCTGGTGGGGGGCTTGATTGTCCTCATCCCCTTTCTTGGCATTCTTGTGTCCTATACCCGCATTGTATCTGCTGTGCTCAAGGTCCCATCTGCCCGAGGCAAACAAAAGGCCTTTTCCACCTGTGGCTCTCACCTCACTGTAGTCCTCCTCTTCTATGGGACCATTACAGGGGTCTACTTGAATCCCTCATCCTCCCACTCAGCTGATAAGGAATCACTGGCTTCAGTGATGTATATGGTGGTCACACCCATGCTGAATCCCTTCATCTACTGCCTGAGGAACAAGGACATGAAGGGAGCTCTAAGAAAACTATTTGGAGTGAAGGCTTTATCCTGTGGGCTATGATAGCAAAGACCCCTTTCAGGGTCTTTGTTCTGGGAATGGGATGAACCAGGGGAAGGCTCTACATATGGAAGCCTTAAAGAACACAGACCTCATTGTCTTGGGTTACCATGGCCAGGGAGTCTTCTCATTACCCCATAAATAATTTCCAAGTCCCTTCTTGGACCCTCGCACAGACTGCTGAGGGGCATAAACTCTTACCTAAAGACAGAACCACAAAAGCAGATGCAAATTAACTTTATCTGCAGACCTTCTAGAGAGGGTACAAGTGGAAAAGATGAACTCATAGGAATCTATGGCCTGTGCTGATAGCCTGTGACAAAGGGATGACCTCTGAGAGCCCCATGCACCCCCAGTTCCTCAAATCCTTAACCCTCATGCATCCCAATTTTTAAACTCCTCTGCTACACCCTCTTCCTCAACCACCATCCCCACATTCTGGGTTGAATCTAGCTCTGGGGACAGACTTGATTGTCCTCAAAGCCATCCCACTCCTTGCCTTGGATGCTGCCAGGTGGGATTCCAAACTCTAGGTACTTGCATCAGGAATGCCTGCAGCTCAGATAAAATACCATGCCCTTCATGAAGCCACCTCACATCTCTCCAGGAGAGAGGAAGTATTTTCTCTCCCCTGGAATGCCATATAATTCTAATTCTGTCCAACAGTTTTCATACCTGGCTCCTCATGATTTATGTTCACAACTCCACTCCAAGCAGGATGGTTGGGTCCTTTTTAAATTTCGTAAAAGGTCCTGCTCACCGTAAGAAAAGCATCCTCAGAAGACTTCATCACAGTGCTGGGTTTAAAATAAGGACTCAATAAAAGTACGCTGTTAATAAATGCTAATGACGACCATGACAATGGCAGCACACACTGCAAAAAAACAAAACAAAAAAAAAAACTTATGTCCTCTCTCCCCATGATTCAGTCTTAACCAATACCTTTTATATCTCCCCTTCCAAGGAAAAAGAGCTACCAATCCAGCTGGTCAGAACCTAAAGAGTTCAATGGTGCATATTCTATGAAGGTTAGTGTGCCCTTCATCCAGGAATGAAACCCCCTTCCTTTCAGCCTGCCCCTGGTTAGTCCTCTTCTATTCATGGTCTCCTTGGCGTCCCCATTTTGGGCCCAGCCACCTCTCTCTATAATACACCAGGGCTAAGCACGCAGATCCTCAATTCAGATTTGGGGCTCAGAGTGGGAAGAGGGTAGGCCCAGACTATTTTCCAACTCACCTTTGACCAGTGAGTCCACAATGGAGGTTACCAGTTGTAACTCAGACACTAACAAAGTGGTACTCTGGCTCAAAGTTTGCTATTGTTCTTTGAGCATATTGTTTCCTTGGGAGCTCTCAGGAGTTAGGATGATTGGCAGGGCAAGATATAGGCTTTCCTGGGCCTCTGACCATAAAACCACAACAATAAACAACAAAATCTCACCTCAAACCTATAAAAAAGATGTGAAGAAAAGTTGACGTCAACCACCCTCCCAGACTTGGCAGCATAAACCCAATCCCATGAATGTACCAGAACATTAATTTTAATTTTAATTTAAAAAAAATATGTATTCAAGAAAGGAAGAAAAATAGTTCCATTATCCACATTTTAAAATAGCACTATTAAGTACCACTAGTAATAAAGTGGAAGTATCTTCAAGAATAATGAGGATAATAATAATAATAATAAAGAATAATGAGAATAGTAAATATCACCTATACGGCATTTTCCAAGTCACATATAACCCTTTCATCCCAATACCTTCTCATTCCCACTGGATGCCTTTCCACACCAGCGGACCACAGCTACATCCAGTTAATACATACAGTTTGAACTCAAGTGACAATTCCGTACCAGTTACTATATTCTGGGCACTGGGGATATATCAGGAAACAAAACAAAGTTTCTAATTTCATGGAGCTGATGTTCCAAGACATGGGGAGGAGAAGAGGGGGGAAAAAAAGACTGTGTGTGTGTGTGTGTGTGTGTGTGTGTGTGTGTGTGTGTGTGTGTGTGTATATATATATAGTCAGAAAGCTCTAAGTGCTATAAAGAAAAATATATCTAGGTCAGGGAGTAGTAATGATAAGGAATGCAACCGTGGAACTGTGGCAGGGTCATGTTTCAAAGGTTCTGTTTTGGAAAAACAAACCACCCAAACTTAGTGGCATAAAATAATAGCAATCATTGGGGCATCTGGCTAACTCAGTTGGTGGAGCATGGGACTCCTAAACTCAGAGTCATGAGGTCAAGCTCTGTGTTGTGCAAGGAGTGAAAATAAAGGTAATAATAAAACAATAAAAAATAAATAATGCTTACCTAACCAGGGCTATTACAGAGTTCAAGCAAATTCTTATATATAAAATACCTGTAATAGCTAGCAGACACTCAATAAATATTAGTTAACGATTTTTAAAAAATAACAGCAATCACTTCAATTTCTTAATTTTTTTTAAGATTTTTATTTATTCATTTGTCAGGGAGAGAGAGAGAGAGAGCACAAGCAGAGTGGGAGAGGGAGAACAGGCTCCTCGCTGAGCAAGGAGACTGATGTAGGACTCAGTCCCAGGACTACAGGATCATGACCTGACTGAGCCACCCAAGCATCTCAGCAATCATTTATCTCTCATCTTTCTGGAGTGACTGTGTTGGGCAAGGCAATGCTCCTTCAGGGTTTGTCATGTGGTTACAGACAAAGAGGTTTGGGTGGGAGTTATCCTGAAGGATTATGCATCTAATGGTCATTGCTGGCTGTCAACGAGGACCACAGTTGGGGCTGTCGTTGTTGGAATATCTATCTGTGGTTTGTCTGGATGACATGGGCTTCCTCACAGCATGATGGCTCTGTCCCAGGGGCAAGAATTTCCAAGTACTTTTCATGACCCAGCCTGAAGAGTAACAGTATCACTGCCTTCATATTTTATTTGTTAAAAGTGAGTCACTATGGCCAGACAATATTCAAGGGAAAAGGAATTAGACTTTAACTCTTGATGGGAAGAATGTCAAAGAATTTGGAGACACGTTTTAAAAATATCACAGGTAGTTTAGGGAAGGTCTCTCAAAACAGAAACTCACATAAAGAGAGAAATAAAGTCATAAAAGGTCTTGAGAAAATGGGTTCCAGACACAGGGAACAAGAGCACAGCCCCTAAGAAAGAGTGTTCTTGGCATGCTGGTGAACATGCTCCAGTAAGAACTGTTAGCTAAGTCAAGTTTTTTACTTTTGCTCCAAGAAGAGAAGCCTTTGGAAAATTCTGAGCAGAGATGTGAGATGATCTTATTTATATTTTCTAAAGTTCTTTTATGATAAAGAAACTACAGAGTGGAAAGGAAAACCATCAGCTCCCTGATAAAGTAGTGCAAGAGAGAAGATGGTGACTTGAACCTGAAGTGCTGGAGGTAATAAGAAGCTGCTTAGCCGTGTGTGGGTTGAAATAGAACTGGTAGAATACTGATGGTTTGGATTCAGGGAATGAGAGAGAGGGCTCTAGGCTTTATGGCTTGAGCAACTAAGGAAATGCAAGGTCTATCCACTAAGATGAGAAGAAGGAAAATAAAAGAAGTTTGGATGGTGGAGAGAAAACACAGAGTTCAGTCTTGTGGTAAGTTTGAGATGCCTATTTGATCTTCAAGTGGGTAGCTCTATCTATAAGTTAGAACTCACAGTGGAATTCAAAGCCCCCTGGGATGTGGCTTCCCCACCCTCTGCTATGCCACTGAAACAGATCTCACCAATATTACCAATGATTCTCTAAGTTGAAAGGCCAGTGGCATGAAACGCATTCCCACTGTTGTGCAGCCACACCATCATCCATCCGCAGAACTCCTCGTTTTCCAAAACTGAAAGTCTGCCCCCATCTAACACTAACTCCCCATTCCTTCTGCTCCTGGCACCTGGCAACCACCCTTCTACCTTCTGTCTCTATGAATCTACTTTAGGTACCTCATCTGAGTGGAATCATATAGCACTTGTCCTTCTATTTCAATTACCACAGTGTCTTCAAGTTTCATCTGTGCTTTAGCATGTCAGAATTCCCTCCCTTTTGGGCGCACCTGGGTGGCTCAGTGGGTTAAAGCCTCTGCCTTCGGCTCAAGTCATGATCCCAGAGTCCTGGGATCGAGCCCCGCATTGGGCTCTCTGCTCGGCAGGAAGCCTGCTTCTTCCTCTCTCTCTCTCTGCCTGCCTCCTTGCCTCCTTGCCTACTTGTGATCTGTCAAATAAATAAATAAATAAATAAAATCTTTTTAAAAAAAAAAGAATTCCCTCCCTTTTTAAGGCTAAATAACCCATTGTATGAATAAATCACATTTTATCAACTCATCCATTGATGGACACGTTGGTTGCCTCCACCTTTTGACTATAGTAAATAACATGGCTATGAGCATAGGTGTATAAATATCTCTTTGAATCCCTGCTTTCAATTCTTTGGGGTCTGTACCCAGAAGTAGAACTGCTGTGTCATAATAGTAACTCTAGTTTTAATTTCTTGAGGAACCACCAAACTGTCTTGCAAGGCATTTTTTGCATTTTACATTCCCACCAAAAGTGTACAAGTGTTCCAATTCCTCCACACCCAAACTAAAAGATTTTTTGAAAAATGAAATCTCTAGTAAGCATCTTCAGGGGAAAGTTGCACATCTTTGCTATCTGTCCCTAGTTTGGGGTTAATCTAATTCTTTTTTTTTTTCCTTTTTGCTGTTACACTTAGTAAATTAGGAAAAGAAAATGAAATGCAGGAATATAATACATACTGAGTAAAGATCTAATGTTGAGATAAGGTATTAGTGTGTGCTGTTATGAATGGAGTTATTCTGACCATGATATGGTCTATATAAGTGGTAGTCTAGGTATGGATCTCCCCTTAGTTGATGCCTAGAGTCAGCTCCATGTAAACAAACAAGCTGGGTGGGACAATGGAACAGTTTCAATAAAAAGGTGGTAAGGAAATAGATATAAAACTGAGAACAGTGCTCGCTTTGACAGCACTTAAAGTGGAATAATACAGAGATTAGCATGGCCCTTGTGCAAGGATGACATGCAAATTCATGAAGTGTTCTATATTTTTGTATGGATAGTTGAATCACTAGATTATACACCTGAAACTAATATAACACTGCATGTTAACTCACTGGAATTAAAATTAAATTTTTGAGAAAAGATCCAGGGGGTTGAGAAAGAGAATTAGGTTTGCTATCTCTGCTTTATAAAGCACACATGCCCTTTGTGATGGCTTCTCCCAACAAAGTGACAGCCAAATCTACAAATGGCTCTGCACTCAACGCTTTCCCTCCTTTCTCTTCCTCCCCCTTACCTTCTTGTTCCTTCAACAAATCAAGACATCCCTTTACTTTACTCAGGCACAAAAGAAGACATCTTAGGATATTTTACTGAGAAGCCAAGGTAAAATAAGAGGATACAACATGTCATTCAAAAGAAGGCAAAAGGGAAGGGTTTTCTTCTTGAATAGAGGTCTGAACTATCTAGAATCCAGTCTACTGTTGAACTTGACTTCTGGATCGGGACTGATTCTCACTTGCAAAAGCTGTGCTCCTTCCCAAACTCTACTATATCATTTCAGTGGTCTCCTCATCAATGCCCTTGATATCCTCCAAGTCCTCCTCTAAAGTTATGTAGAACAAAGACCTATCAGTTTACTTAAAAGGATACTGTTAAAGATCTTTTACAGACACAGATCTAGAA